TATGTCTAAGATGAATTTTTTAGAAAATCGCACATGACTAGCCGTGAAACTATGTAAATACGTCGTAATAATGCATTTGAGTAAAGTTCTTGTTGCGATTTGCAAATAAAACTTTTTTTTTTTCAAATTTAACCCATTATTTATCTACAATTATACATCGTCCGTAATTTTTGAGTCCTAAAAGCTACACGAGGCTTAAGATGTAGGAGCCAATCAAAAGCGATGGTGACATGGTGATACTCTCCTCATCAAGTTACTCTAGCAGAGGAGTGAACCACCAGAAGTTACTAGCACAACTTCTGATTTACAACTGCCTCCCCTGTTAAATCTTTTGTTCGTTTTCACCTCGGGAAATATTATCGAATGCGCTACACTTTGCATTACAGAACTACTATTTCTAGATCATTCGTATAAGCGCCTATCTGCGAGGGAAAACCAATGACATGTACATTGTTTCCAAAATGAGCCTGAAATAGTATAGTTCTTAAATGCAAAATGAAATTCCAATGTGAGGAGCTAATTAAAGAGTTGTAACGTGTAGCTAAAAATTTTAAAATCGATTATTTGAGGCTGATCATCATTTTTAAAGGTTTTTAAAAACTGTTGAGGATAAAATACATGAATAAAAGTAAAGCTAATATATGTAACAATATTTCAAATTAGCCAATATACAGAAAAGTTCTTTTCCGATTTCGTATTCGTGCCTATTAAATATATCTTGGCGGTCCCAATCATAGCATGTAAGACTGTTTTTCAAATCTCCTAAATAGGATGGTTCCGTATTTATGGCTGAAGTGCGAAACCATGGCTCTTGATCCGTTCGCAACTTTGCAGACTTCCTGTCATACTTAATTTTTTCTTCGGAAATCTGGTCAACTTCATTCCTCTGAAAACTTTTTTGATTTTTCCTCTCTAGTACCAAAATATTCCGTATAAATGAAAGGGTATCCCCAGGGACCCGGAGCCAAGCCGGAGCAGTAGCTCCGCTCCGAGCTCCACGCTGTCCTGGCTGCAGCCGAGGCAGTGAGAGATCTGCGTTGCAGTGGAGCCGGGCCGTTTCGGAGCCAAGCTTGGTTCGGAGCCGAGCCTGGTTCGGAGCCGGCTCCGTAACATGCCCAGCTCCGGCTGGACTTCGTGCGACAAGGCTCCAGCTCCTCCGGGCCGGCCGGAGGTTCCGATTATGACCGATTTTTCTCAGTCTATCTCTCTCGCACCTGTGTTAATCAGTGCGCTCGGTTGTTTTGTCACATATCCTTCTCCCACGCAAGGAGATGACGCGTTATCTCCTCCCAGTTCTAGGAAATTCATGCGGGCACCCGACCATCGAGAAAGGCTTCTTTTTTCCTCTTCCTCTTGCATCTTGTCTCTTCAAGTACTTCACGTCACTAATATGTATTCCATCCATCCCTGACCCCGCAACAACTCTTTAGCTCACCGTATAAATCAAAAATCTGCGTCTCTTTTATCTTTCCATGACTCGAGCTTGCTACACCGATTTATTACGAGGCCTTTCTTTGGACGGAGAAAAGGGGGGGGGGGAGGCTGATCGGACTTCGAGGAGCCGGTAGCAGGGTCAAAAACACAAATTATTTAATATTTTCAACTGCTTTTACAAATTATTTCGATGAACTTGAAAAGCACGCCGAACATTGGGTGGGATTTTCGGGACCTTTTCATATCGTAAAATTAGTAGAATATGACGGGTGAAACATTTTTTTGTTGAAGTTGTGTTCTTTACCATCTTGTCTAAAAGTCAGTCAAGAAATCTGCTATTATTAATTGTTTTCAGGCATTTGTGTTGCCTTTGAAGTAGTACAAACGACAACCTCAACAGAGCAATTTTCGTAACATATTGATCTATACTGGAAAAGAGTCTCTGAAAAGTGAATGCCAATGTTTGCGCGCCAGCAAGTCACTTAAAAAAAAAATGTATCACTAAAAAGTCGATATGGATCGTGTTTCTCGGCCCTAATAAGGTTTTTTGGGAGGCACATAAACATTCCTCGGAAAATTAATTTTTATGCGTCCAGTTAAAACACCACAAAAAGAATCTTCGAAAAGTGAAGGCCCAATTTTTTGTGTGCTGTCCAAGTCACTCGATAAATTGCAATTTGGCAAGAATCGCTGAAACAGTGTTTCTGGTCTTTCTATCGATTCCTCGGAGAGACAAAAACACCTAGCAAAATATTTGTTATGCTATCTTAATGTCCTATAAGCGGAGGCTTTAGAAACAAAATTCCAATTTTTTACATGCTTGCAAGGTCGAAGAAACGAATGACGTAAATCACAGAGATTTGGACCAAATTGAGCGATTCGGCCTATTTATGTGCATGGGAGAAAAACTAACATCTGTAAAAATATATTCTTCCTTAATCAGTCATAAAAACGTCCCTAAAACCTGCAATCTGATTTTCTGTGTGCTTGCCAAGTCGCTTAAAAAATCGATAAAATCATTGAAATATAGCAGTCACAAGTACGGCTAAAATTGTATTCTTAGCATATGTAAGGCAAAAAAAGTTGTATTGATCCAAAAGCTATAATTAGCACGCCTTAAAAAGCTACGAAAATTGAGTTAAAATTCCAAATATAATGGCTCTAGCCGACTTTTATCATGCTTAAAATTTGCCATGGAATCAGTAAAACACCATAAATTATGTGACATTTTTACATTGACTATAAGAGCTGTGACGGATTTTTAGTGTATTTTCCGAAGAAAATACACTATTTTTTAGAATGCTTTGGCACACATCAGTCTGATTCCAAGACGCAACTTTTTTTCTCCTCTACATACTTTTGAAATTCAAAAGTCGATACCCCTCAGATAAACTCGTACCTACTTTATCCGAGTTGCTTGATTTGGTCGAAATCTTAGTGATTTTCGCTATTTTCCCCTCGAATTGGTAAGTTGTATACAAAAGTGGAATTTAGACCTCTAAAGACCTCATTTCTAGGAAATAGAGTACCTATATAGGAAATGTTGATTGTTGGTATTACATATGTCCCTTGAAGGACCCTGGAGGAAGGATTAAAATACGATTTTCATCGACTTTTCAAGCACAATTGTACCTGTTTTTTGAGTATCGTGGCAAGTACGAAAAAATTATGGGCCTTCAATCTTCAAAGGCTCTTATCACAGAGGATGAGTATGGCAAAAAAGTATTTTCTTGAGCGTTGTACTTCCTAAGAGGCGACAAAAAGGCGACTTTTGACTACGTACTTGTTCAGTCTTTTTTGACTACAATAAATATCGAGGCCTCGGACGGGAGTTGCATTTTCTGTCGATTTGGTGCCACGGCCCTAAGGAAATAAAATTCGGTTGATTGGTGAAACTTCTTGATAGTCATATTTTTCCCTGAAAATTCCACGAACACCTAACGGAAGAGTCTTGCCGTATGTAGCGCACTTATAGCTCAAATGGCGCGCCCCAGCTCTCTTAAAATCTGGTAATCGTTAGATCAGCAAAATTTGATGTCTCGGTCTAAAATGAATAGAAAAGTTATTTTCCTGCTATTTACCATGAACCATTTTCTCCAATAAAGTAATGAGACTGTGCGAAATAAGACACAAGGGTTGATTGGACGTTGCTTTTAAGATGTAGTTTTGTGTGTACTATCGTGGGGGGGGGGGGGGGGGG